CTGAATCCATACACCATGGTGAGGGGATTTTGATCTTGCTTTTCTGTCCAACAAAACATAAGGAAATAAGGAATGGAAGAAGGCATCGTGGATTCGGCTGACTGGCCAATCCCAAGCAGCACCACAAAACAGATAAGACGGATAAACACACAGCCACGTATGTAGCCTAGACGGAAACAGAAACGAGCAGCTCTGAAACTGAAACTCACGGCCATGGCCATCCTGGGCGCCCTCAAGCTCGGCCCGTCTCCACCCGCCCTCGCTGGCGCCGCGCCACCGTCGACGTCGACGCCCGCGCGCTCCTCGGTGCACTTCCACCTCGCCAATGCCGGCGCCGCCGCGCTCGTCGCCGCCTCGCTCCTCGTCGCCGACCCCGCCGTGGCATTCATTGTCCGCCCGCCGTTTACTTACCCTGCCTTCTTTCTGCTGTCCTCCCAAGTTCTTGCGAAATCGGGGTGTCGGTGTTGACGGCGCGCTCGCGCGCGCGTGGCGTGGCTGCAGGGAGGAGGCCCGTACGGGAAGCAGGTGACGCGGGGGCAGGACCTCACCGGCAAGGACTTCAGCGGCCTGACGCTCGTCAAGCAGGACTTCAAGACGGTACTGGACATCTCACCTTTCCTTGTGTTGTGCAATTTTCTCACAATTGATATCGCGTGCTTCTCGATTTGAAGAAACCTAGCTAGAAACGCGTCAAATCTTCGAAGTTCTATGTATATGCAGAAATGGCATGCCGTTTGTCAGGGTCTTGCTCATGCTTGTTGATTCTTGATGTTCTTGATGATGCAGTCTATACTGAGGCAGGCGAACTTCAAAGGCGCGAACCTGCTCGGCGCGAGCTTCTTCGATGCAGACCTCACAAGTATTGAATTTGCTCGCTATCTTCGATGATTCCAGTTCTTCCTTCTCAGTGGAAAATTTGTGACTTGGTTTTCGCTGTGTGGCTTACTGGATATGTTTGCCGGCCGACGAATTCAGGCGCTGATCTCTCTGATGCTGATCTTAGAGGCGCCGATTTCTCGCTGGCGAATTTAACAAAGGTAAAATGATCAGCGTTGCGCATTATTTCGGTTCAGTTTCATCAAGATTCAAGCACGCTTGTGCACGCGCCCGTATATTGTTCTGTTCAAAATGCCTGACAAGTACCACATCCCCATCCAAAACGTTCAGCCATCGTTAAATCAGACATTTATATTTGGGCCCATTTTGTTCATGCTCCTCTCTTTGCTTATTTTTTAATGAAACAAATCCCTTCATGTTTGTCACCTCTGATTGAACTATCCGTCCATAGATATCACCATGGTGATTCGTTTTTCAACACGCTTGTGATTGGTTTTTGCCTCATTTCATTTTGCAGACAAACTTATCAAATGCCAACTTGGAAGGGGCACTTGTCACCGGAAACACTTCTTTCAAAGGTGCCAACATAACTGGGGCAGGCAAGTGATTTCTGCATATCACTCTGATAGTCATCTATTGCTGCAACTCAGCAACTGTACCTTGCCCAATTCAAAAGGCTGTCATCAGTAGAGCGGGCACAAGCAAATTTCCATTCCCCTTTGAAAAATCAAAATGAGCAAAAGTAGGCAAAGCTCAAACTGGATAAATGGCTTGTTCTTTGACATGATCACATAAGCAATAGTGTCACCGTGGACCATTTTCTTCAACTTGCAGATTTTACCGATGTCCCGCTGCGAGACGATCAACGGGAATACCTCTGCAAAATCGCTGACGGGTAAGAACACAACGCATTGATGGCCATTCAGTCTAGTCTAGTAATATGTTTGCTGATCTCATCGTTTGTCGACCAGAGTGAATTCAACCACTGGGAACCCCACAAAGGAGACTCTGTTCTGCAGCTGACCGATGGAAGACCCTGTGACTTGTGAGACTTGTAACTTATTCAACGCCTTAATAAACTTGTATCTGATGCTGTAAGCACGTGAGAAATGTAAATTGAGTTATAGAGGAGGAGGATGCCCAGAAATAATAGCTGGTAATTACGTGTAAATCAACGAACAATATTAGTGCGCGTTGCTCTTCATGTGCAAGTGACTTTTTACTTGGTCATATATGGATTAATGGAGGACTCTCAAGTTTCAAACATTGCCACATTGGTACACTGACGAGTGACGAAGCTGTGTTTCTTTTCCTTTCTGTTTAACCGAGGACTCTCAACCTGCAGATATTACACTGTCGCACTGTCCGTCAATGCACTGTGCTCTCTTGTGCGCAAAAACTAAAAAGAGATGTTCCTTAAAAAAAAAAGAGACATAAACTAGGATGGAACGTTCGCTATTGAAGGAGCTGGATGTCCTGTGCTGTCAGCATTGGTGTAAAACATACTGAATTGTGCAGTTCAAGCAACAAAAACCAAATTAAAAGCCTTTTGACGGCAGGCAGCAAACCAATGCTGTCTGTACACACAGGTATGTAGTGATGCCGAAGCACAGAGCTGGCCAAAGCATGCAATCATTCATCGTAAACAAAGATAGGTCAATTACATTATAATGTAGTGAGTTTCAGCAGCTTGCCTAGTAGTGTAGGACACTGAGCTTCCTAACTGGTATCCTGAAAAATGAGTTCGTTAGTCAGTTCCTTGATGAGTCGGCACATTATAGCATGATGAAACGTTAATGTTGATGCTTGGTAATAAGGATATATAAATAACTATCATACTTGAACTTAGCATGTAGAAACGAACCAGGTGAGCTCAATCTAAAGCTAGCTGAAACATGAGCTCATGTTCCTTATAAGGACTGGGTCATCGAAGTTACAACACGATACTTATAAATATATATTACATTTGAATTCAACATGTAACCAAAATGCTATCCATTTGCAGGATAAACATTGCCTACCCACACACAAAAAAAAAATGCCAGCATTGTGCTATCTTCTCCCCTTGGCTCTATGTATTTGTGTCGAAGATGTAATGGAAATAACCCAATCCAGATCAGATCTGACTGCCAGGACGCCTGCAGCTGCGTATTTCACCGCATAGAGGCGATGGTTTTTCTTTAGCCCTGTCCCCAAAATCCACTCCCGTGGGGATTCAAAACTCAAAACCAGGCCTCCTGGGTTTAGGTTGCTTGGAAAACCATGTAGTGTGATGCTATTACAAGCATGCATGCACACCCAAAAACTTTTCTCCTAAAATGCACACCAACGATGCAAAGGTTTCTAAAGAATCAATTGGCATGAATGAGTTTAAACCTGTGATGGTATTGCATTGTGCCACACTAATAGCAACCTGTACCTACCATGATTGAGGCCTGACATGGTACTACTACCAACACTACCAAATAAAATAAAATAAAATAGATTTGCTGCACATCAACCTATTCTGGATTGCAACACTGGCTGCTGGAAAGGCTGAACATAAATGTAACACCCCAGGCGGCACACAGCCTAGGCCCACTCTGCCGAGGGGTGGGCCCCCCACCTACGAAGCAACCCGCTTGCGCTTTCATCCTTGCTTCGCGCAAAACGGTTAACCGAAGGTTACTATGCGTCCTTGGCCTGGCTATTTAAGCTGGTTCGGCGAACTCAGAATTTCCGCAACTACAGTAACTCGGTTCTAAGGTAACCCGAATTCAGCCCAGCCCAATTCACCACTACAGCTACAGAAGCCCGGCCCAACCGCAATTCGGCCCATGAGCTGGGTCTCACAATAAAGCAATCCTTTAAGCAAGATTGGTCAGTGTTACTTCCCCTGTTTGCTAATTTGCTTACGCCTGTGAAGAATTTCAGCACTAGTTCTGCTGTGTATACTTTTAGGGAGTATACTACCTGTCTAATGATGCTGTGATGGAAGTGATATGGGGCCTGAAGTATCTCATGAAGTGTTTAGTGCCTGATGAAAGATGAGACCTGGATCATCATGCCATTTTGTCAATGCAGAGATGGTGAGATGAAAGCATGTTGGCTAGGGACAAGGCCATGAGCTCAGAATATGAAAATGCAATGTTGTAAGGATAAGCTTTGTGAATTTCATTAGATTTGCATTACACGGACATGAGTGTCGAATTGCAATTGAGGCAAAGGGAGACAGTGTGGATTTGATCCGATTTTGATGGGACAGGCTGTTCAGCGCGATGGAGCTGATCCAATAGGTTGGATGATTTATGGTATGGTTGAATATTTAAGCATGGTCACCAATGGACCGGCCCTCCATTTGGTCAAGCGCGAATGTGTTGTGGCATATAGGGGCTTAAATAGCCTACGGGTCGTCTGAATTTCCTATCTGTGATCCCCTGGTAATATCAATGTCTAATTCAGGCAACTTGCTGTTTAATTCAGGTGATTTTGTTCATGGATTTGTGTGCAGAAAACCTTTTGATTTCATTCAATTCATTTTTCCCCAGTCTGCATTTTGTTGTGAGCATTGCTTTAGGCTCATCAAACTCAAGTGTAACAGATAAATCATCACCATCTTACAGCACACTTCGAAAATAAACCCCGATTATAGGACTTCTATACGGTTGGGAATTGCATATTGTGACGTTCAGCTTATTGTGGAGGACGAACCTCCTCAGTCCTGACATGACACTCAGCACAGAAAATCCTTTGGAATATAGATTGTTAAGAGGTAAACCATTAAGCACGTGTGGAAATCAAGCAAACATGGGAAACAAGAAACATGATAGCTTCCAGATGTAATGGCAACTTACCGTCATTTTGCAGGTAAATTCCAGCCTTCAGAATTCTCATGCCAAATAAACAATAGCTCTGCAAATCAAGTGCTTGCCGTTGTGGGCTCTGAAAAGGTACTTCATGCCTTGTCCTAAATAACAATGCCTTATAAAACATTATTATATTGTAAAGATGAACTTCCAAATTAATTTTCCTCTGGAAACTCCCCCATCCAAGGTGTGTATGGAAAAGACCCTTCTATGAATGGTTGGATACCCATAAACGTTCCATAATGTGTTGGGGAGAGGTTGCCTAATTCTTGAACCTTTGAGGTATTTAAGTGATAGGCCAGTCCTCGGCTCAATCCTTCACTCGAAGACAACCTCCCTGTAAGGGTAAAATCCGAGGAGAGTAATAATATAGCCACCAATGTCCCTATTGCCCCAACCTTCGGTGTGAATAACATTATCATCGCCTGAGTCCCATTCTTTGGTTTCAACAACATTTTGTAGTCACAGCCAAATTCAAAATTTTCCTCCATTATCACTTTATCATTACCATCCTGATACTCATCGCGTGATCCAATACATTTAATATCTTGTAAGGTCCAAGGTTTAGGTCTATCAGTTTTCCTATATCTCAAGCAAATACTAGTCTTCAAAAACCACTCCATCTTGCCATATGATTCATCCAGAATATAAACATAATGATCATCCAACGCACAGTACAGTCCCTTCTGTGATTTTCCCAGATAAAGATTTGGATCTGGTATCAGCTCAGTATCTACTAGAGGTGGTTTAATTACCTGGTACTTACCATCTAACAGTGATAATCTGCAAGAATCAAATATAACTGAGAAATCTGAATCAACGATAGTAGCATTAAACAACATTTCATGAAAGGAGAAGTTCAAATATTTAAGTGGGGTGGGCACCTACCTCATAACAAAGTTGGTTTGGCAATGGACATAAAGTGCTCCCCGCCAATAGACAGAGTTGTGATAATGATTACTATATGAACCATCCAATCGCATGTCAGCCACAGTCCCTGCAGCCTCCCCTTCTCGAACAAACGACCTCTCCTCCCATTTCTTAGTCCTTGATGAGAACACATGAAGTATGCATGGCGACAGTGGCCACTCTAATTCCTCTGTTGCAGGGTTTAATTTGATCTGGCCAGATCTGGCACAAGCAAATGGGATCAGAAAAACCTCATAGTGTGGTGACACTGCAGGATCAAAGACTAGGTCCTCCTTGTGGAAAAAGTTTTCTGTACCCAAATGTGGGCTTGGGAATGGGGGCAATTGCACCCACTGATATGTCGCTGGGTTAACCACATAGTCGTCAAGCAAGAGAAGCCCATTGCAGTGGTCACTAAGTGCTAAAGATATCTCTGGGTGGCAAACAGTCAGATATTGTTGGGCCTGTTGAGGAACGCGAGAAGAATTCCGACAAAACTAGGTCATGGAAGTTGATGAAGATGCCAGCCAACGAGAGAGGGAGGAGATCTGCACGTACTAACCGGCGGGTGTCAATGATTGTGCACCAGGGCTTGCAAACACAGCGGGATGTGGCAAGGAAGGGTGGCGTAAGACGTCGGAGGATATTGGCAAGCACCTCTTCTGGTAGCTGGTTCAGCGTGCACTCCACTTCTTCCAACATATTTGAGATGATTCTGATTAGTATGAGGAGCTCCCACTCCCCCGAAGAACTGCGCTTATCTGCAAAGTGAAGGAATATATATATGAATAAGAAAGAAATAAGGAGTCGGGATGTTGTGCCCGTTGTTCAGCAAAATCTGAACACTACAAATTGGCAGTTATCTGTGCTGTAGCAGCTGCTACTGTGCTAGGAGCTCTCAATCCATGATCAATATAAGCTGCAACTTCGTCCAATGAATAATTCGTATAGATCACTATTTACAATATGCGATTAGCACAAATGCCAAACAGAGAAGATGTTGTAGAATCGTGACCCAACGATTCGATCATGCTAGTCTTGTAAACAATATACTAAGGTAATAAGGCCATGACCCTGAGCAGGATCCGCGACTCACCAGCCGCGTCCCAAATCACAGATCTCTGATGGTCCAGGTAGAACAGCAGTAGCAGCGCCGGGGAGGGTGGTGGGCGGGTATGGCGGCGGGTACAAGAGAGGCCGACAGGTTAGAGTGGGCGGGATGGAGACGCCGGCGGCCGTGGGAGGTGAAGGACGGGTACGGAGCTAACCTGGTGCCCGGTCTCGGGAATACGAGGCTGATAGAAGAAACCTCGAGGCCGAGGCTCGTCGCCGACACCGGTAATGCGTCAGGAGGCGGAGCCCCGTCAGTCGGGACGATGAATCAGATTGGGGATCGAGCCGATCTTTGAACGCACATTAAAATTTTGAGCTTTTTTTTATTCGTACCGTTACAATTTTACAGACATATGCCAGTACGTTTATTTAGAGATTTACCATTCTAATTTCAATTTACCATTATAACTAGTATAATGCCAGTGCTAACGCTATGGTTTTAATCTTGGGATGCTCATAATTATAACCAATTTATTCTTCATAATATTACTATTACACAACAATTGTATTTGAGTCTATATATAATTTGGGAACACTTTTCATATAAGTGCACATTGTAAAGTTAGATTCTACCTAACTCCTTAATCATGTATTGCAGATTATCTGGGATGTTGTCGCTACATTCTTTTTGCATTACTCGTCAAAATATCGGCCAAGAATTCCCTCCTCAACGAAGTTGGTAGTTGTGCATGGCAGATAACAATAAATAAGTTATTATTTTTCAATGTAGTTTATGAAACTTAGTTATGTACTGTACATGCTTACATTGTTGATCGGTGGCAATCTTATACCATCCCATGACTTCATAAAACTGTATACAAGAAAGCCTTCCAAATTCCTGCAGAAGATCAATTGTTTGTTTGATGTACATAGATCAAATAACTATTTCTGTGATATGAAAGTTGAAATATATTACAAGTGATTACCGGTGTTTATTATGCGTAACCTTTGTTACACACGTAGGGTATTCTCGCTTCCAATGATAAATATTGCCGTTCATCTTATAATTTAACAATCCCATGGCAAGATTAAACCTTCTAGCAATAGTGTGTAATGTAGGTATGTATGAATCTCTGTGATCATAACCCTTCAAGCATACATGATCTTGAAGTGGATCCATAATATGCACGATTATTTTTTGCATGTCTTGATAATATGGTAGTAGAATCTATAAACAAACACACAGACTGTAAGTGATAAATAATTTAAAAGGTTTTAAAGTAATACACAAAACACAACTTACATTGCTACATTCTTTAATGTCGTACTGCTTTTTTGGCCAGTACTCAAATACTTTTTTTAATTGATCTTGGTATGCCTTGTCAATCTTGGGACAACATCGTGGATCTCGTCCAAAATGAGTTATTTCCTGATAATTATACAATTACATAATTTAAGTATGACATGTATAAACAATCTTTTAGAATGATTTATATATATCAACTTATAGCAAATTTGAGATCCGTGTAGTGGAATATTTGTTTCTTCTGCGCTATGTCTTGGTTGCACGCGACCATCCGAATAGCCATATTAAAGGTTTCATGTTCCAGCTGTCTATCATCATCTAAAATATTTATAATTTGTCTAAGACTTAAAGAAATTGGATATGATCGTGTACTTCGTATCCACTCTTTCTTGAAAACAAGGACAAGGAACAAATTACTTGTTGTAGCAATCTAGAATGGACAAAGGCAATATCTATATTAGAACAGTACGTTGTACTTTAGAATGCATGACTTACTCTAAAGTCTCATCATCGGCGATCAAGTGGAACAACCCGCAAATTATCGTCAATAGGTCTTCTCTGTTTGTCCACTTTAGCGTCCTTGTCAACTTCGTGTTACCCGACATCAAAATATCGAGGTCATTGAGCTCTTCGACAAGTTCATCTAGGTCATCGCCGGTCTTAGTCTTTTGCTCTTTATCCGGTAACCCTCTTATTTCATTTAACAAATGAGTTATATAAGATCGCAGTAGCTTGAACTTTGAAGTTACTTATATCTTCCTCGCAACAAGTAATTGCTTATATGCTAACCAGCTTAAAAAATAACCGATATGTATTAGAAGTAGATTCTTAAGTAAGTACACAGTTACATGGTCGATAAAGTACTTCCCATCCAATACTCCATATAATTAAGAAGCACTTGATTCAGCTTTCTTCCGCCAAGCATACGATACTCACGTGTCTTCCTATTTATTTCCTCCCTTTCCTCGTCAGGTTTGTTCAAATTTCCTTCTCCTTGCGCAAGATACTCATTGTTTTCTATTTCTTTCCTCCCTCTTGCGATCTTCATCGATTGCAAGTCGTTCGGAATGGTGGTGTCATATATATACATGGTGTTGTTTGTATGTATGTTAATTTGGTTAATCACGTACATGGGGTTTGGATGTTTGTTATATCGCCAAGAAGCGCATCGCCCATCTGCTACGTCCCCATTGTCAAGTCGATGAATAGCTTCCTGTTCGGTCAATGAAAAATGGAATGTTAGAACTCGGATAGAAAGTTGAGGGTAGCACTACAAAAGTTAGGGTGAAAGAGTGTTGTCATGGGTAGCTTATCTATTGGGTAAGTATTCCTATACAAAATTTTATTTTCATCATACTTGATATGAAAACTGAATGAGAAACTGGGACATTGGCCCAAAAAACAATGGTAAACACACAGTAGTGGAAAAATTGCCTGCAGACCTCTTCTCTTTTTTTTATCAAGAAGACCTTGAAAACCTTGAAATATGCAATTCTAAAATTAAGTTGTTCCTGAAAATTGGTTGCTTTATGTATCTCTTCTTTTTTATGCATAAAACATACTACCTTCGTATATATAACTATATTTGTGAGGGTCAAACTTTCTATTTCCTTTTCGTAAGTGGGGCATCGCCTAGTCACAAGATCTCTACCCTACTATATGGCGAAACTAAAGGCCACACCCACACCACTCGATCTATCTTGCTAGTTTGTTTGGTCCAGCACCAACATTTGGATCATCGTAGAAGCGGCAACACCTCCATATGATGTGAACTTCACAGATTGATTTGAAACATAACCTTGGTCGCCGTGATGGTTGTCTGCTGCTTTGAATGCGCCGTGGTAGTGTGTGTACAGTGTTCCCCGCGTCCTCCTCGGCCGATCACGGCGGTCTTCACGTCACCGGTGGCGTGTCCCGGTCGCCGCCATGCCGCATGCGTCGTTGCTTATGAAGTCCCTCGAGAGCCCGGCCGGGATCGGCTGATCTTGAGATATCAATCTTCCGTGTCGCGTCCCCGCTTGGCTCGCTCCGTGGATTTTGCTTTCTTCGGTGCCGCGTCTTGGAAGCCGTGGCCACCGTCGAAGACTCGCCGGACTTGTCCGCCCACGATCGAGATCGCCTAGCACCTGCGTCGATGATGGAGCCACCTGCACGTCCCACGACGGGAGGCGGGGGGAATCACGTAGGAAGGATGAGCACCGGAATGGAGGAGGGATGAGCAACATATGCGGAGGCAACGTACGTGCTGCGGCGAGGCTTCGTAGGTGCGGAGGCAGGAGATCGAGCGGAGGTGGACTCCGCGTGGAAAGAGCCGCGGATTTCTCGTGCGTCAATTTTTCTCGCGTCAATATTCCTTTTTTCGTGACGCATGGAGGGGGGGAGGAATACCATACAAAATATGCTGATCGTTGGATCGTTCGTGAGTAATGAGAGAGAATATTGAGGACAGATCTGGGCGGTTGATTTGGATGTGGTTGGTTTATGTGTATAATTTTTAGGGTGCATTTAGGATGGCCATCTCAGTGGGGGACGCTTTTCTAGGTGGACCAAGCGAAGAAAACTTAGTGCATTAGTAGGGTAGATTCCATTACTCCCTCGTCCATGCCATTTTATACGTCTTCCGTGTATATAGACCCAGACACGTATACATACGGGAATTCGTACGGCCGTTAAGTCTCCGCCTACTCCGTTAGAAATAGCGAGGTGGGCGAGCAGATGGACGTGTGGGCTGGACCGTGTGCCTCAGCGTCAGCCTCCTCGCGGGAGGTGCTAGTGTCCGATTGGGCGGACAGCAGCCTCTGTCCGATGGTTCCCACCCAATAAATTATCACTCAAGGAGCACGGGCATAATTTTCGGGCACACAGCTAGCGCGCAAGTTAGCCATCATGTAGGGACCACCTCACCCACATCGCATGCAATGACTTTCAACAAATTAAAAAAAGTTATAACTCATAAACCAACCATCCAAATTAAATTCCGATTATACCATCGGGTTTCTTACAATAAATCCTTCAAAACAAGATATCGCATGGATATATTTAGATGATTTTTCTAACAAACATTTGTCTTACGAAAGATAGAATATTTTCTATTATTAAATAGAGACGATGTTTTATGTTGAAAGAACAATGTGCTGTCTTTGTAAAAAGAATGTTCTCGGTTTAGGTTTATGAAATTGGTATTATAATATACATAAACAAATAAAATAAATACATAACATAAATAAAAAATAATGGAATCTAGAGCAAAGCATAAGGAAAAAACACGTAATAGAGAAAAATTTAAAAGACTATCACATGGGCACTTTTCAAACATCCTAAAATTATACTATAGAACATCACATATATACTAAATGAACATCAGTAAATATATCATAGAACATCACAAAAAAGATAATAGAATAACAAATATATACTAAATGAACATCGCAGAAAATATCATAGAACATCATTATATATATACTACGCGAACATCACATGTATATTACACAAACATCACAAAATACATCTAGAATATCACATCTATACCACGTGAACATATAAAAAAAACATCATAGAATATCACATTTATAACACGTGAACATCATAAAAAATATCATAGAACATCACATGTATACTACATGAACATCACAAAAAACATCGTAGAACATGACATTATATACCACGTGAATATCACAAAAAACATCGCAGAACATCACATCTATACTATATTAACACAACATCTCATAGAATATAGAAAATAAAAAACTAAACATAAAAAATAATTAAGTAAGGTAAAATAGAAAAGTAGAAATTTAAAAAGAAAGAAAGGAAAAATCACATGAAACGAAAAAGGAAACAAAAAAAAATTGAATAAAGAGAATGAAAAATTAATAAGAACATGAAAACAAAGAAAAGAAAGAGAAAATAAAAAGAAACATAAAAACTGAAAAAGGAAAAGAATAATAAAAATCTCATAAAACAAAAAAATAAATATAAATAAAAATGAAGCACGAAAATAAAGAATAAAAAGGGAAAATAAAAGAAAAGAAAAGGAAAGAAAAGAAAGAAAAGAAAAAAAAGAAAAGAAAAGAAAAAAGAAGAAAACATACCTACTTACCTACCTGACGCTGCCGGAAATCCCGTGCCCAGTGAATGGGCAAATCAACTTCATTGCAGTGCATGCATTTGGGCAACGCGTGGGCCTCGTTGTTGCAGTGCAAGCGCGCTCAGCTGAGCCGTTCGTTCAGATGGCTTCCGTCCGCCGCTCGGACGGGAAGAATCATGCCTCCTCGCCATGGCGGCGGAGAAAGACGCCTGCGTAGTGACCTCCTCCTCCCCGGTGACAAGCACTCGACTGCCCGCGCCCTCGGCGATGGCGACGCGGTTGGTGCTCGAGTATGCGTCGCCACGGCGACCAGCGGAGCGTGACCTTCTTGAAGCGCGACCGTTGAGCCTGGCGTGCATGATGGTGGCATTGGGGCACACGGTGCGCAGTTCGTCCCTGGGGGGGTCGAGTGGCCGGGCGCAAGACTAGGCCCTCGAGGCCGAGGGCCCAACCCAAAATGTGCAAGTAGAAGTAGTATTACATCTATGGCCCATAGGAACAAATTGAACTAGGCATACGAAATGAACCAAGCATACCGACTCCACGCCGATTCTCGCTGCGCCTTCCGTGTTCCGTGCCCTTCCGCCACCACGCTGCCGCTGACTCCGCCTTCCTCAACGAGTGAGCGACTCGCCGACTCCGTCGGCGAGGCATGAGCAATGAGCGATTATAACAGAATCGACCAATTATACGAAATTAAGTAAGAAAATCATCCGCCAGAGCAGACGATTTAGCAAACTTAAGCCCGTATAACCCGGTAGTCCGTGAAATCGCGAAGGATTTCAAACCAACTTCCATTCCAGCCAAGATCGTAATAAGTTTAGCGGTCACCATCACATATTACATAAAAGTTCGCAATCTCAAATACATCAGAGTTTAAACATAGTTATTACAAACCGATTCAAGAAAAGTAGCGGAAGCCATTTGTTCAAACCACACACACACTCACGCGGAGTTTAAATATAGTGCCAGCGAATGATCATCTCCAACAAAAGCATCAGACGAGACGTAAGGAATGACCCTGCCCATGGTCCTAAGCATCACCCATCGCAGGATAAAGGCAGTTGATACAATAGCCGTAATACATCTGCCCATCTGCAACAAGTGGGAATAAAACCCTGAGTACGAGAAGGTACTCAGCTAGACTTACCCGACATAACCAAAAATAAATGACACCAACAATTATGAAGGCTTTATAGTAGGGTAGCTGACTCATTTGCAAAAGAAGCATTTTTTTAGCATTTCCATAACTTTTCTAAAAGCGTTATTGCCAACTTAATTATTATTAACTTATCGACTAGATTTGCATCTATACTAGAGTAAACATGTGATTAAGCAATTAATGATAACCAATCGATCATTAAACAACTTCCATACTTGTCATATTCACTATAATCGTCCAAGTGTTCCATAAACATTTACTACGATGAAGTAACTCAAGTCAAGTGCTCACTATCCAGAGCGATGGCGATTCGAATCGATTCCTAACCAGCTGGTGATTTATTCCTTACACAAATCTCACTCACCCGCTAAAGTGAGATATTGATCACCGAGTCAACTTTCCAGGTATCTCGAGTTTGCCAGGAACCACATGTACCCGGGGGCCGACCGATTGCACTTTGGTCTTATCATCCCGCCCGTGTCCTACCACACCGCTTGCTAAGATCGCAGCTGCATGGCAATCTACTCGGCCCAAAATCTCTCCCGGCTTCAGCGGTCGGAAGGTACTTTATCCGGCCAACTAAATGTAAGGCATGCGTTCAACATGACTCGAGGCCCAACAACGGTCGGTCCTTAATCGACCTGACGGAAACACTACAGTCCAAAACTCGCAAGTCTCCGTCCGGCCTCAACTTCATTTAACACTTAGTTATACCATGACTTCATAGTCATCCAAGCGAGATCCAGTAACCACCTATAGCTCGCGGTGTGATGTGAAATCACCCGACTTCTACCGGTCT